GTTATTTGGTTAATATATTCTAGATGTTTGTTTGTTTGTAATTAAGCACAAAGCTACACAATGGGCTATCTGTGCTCGGCCCACCACGGGTAACAAAACCCGGATTCTAGTGTTGTAAGTCCGCAGACATACCGCTGTGCCACGTGGGGGGCATATTCTAGATGACTATGTCAGTGTGTGTATTCTGAACCTATTTTATCATCCTGCAGGTAGACATAGTCTTCAACATAGAGCTTCTTTTGATTTATGCAATGAATCACAGCCTTTATGTTTCAATTTTGGCATACATTATGATTTGTCCATTACGATTTTAGTGACCGGGATGCAAGGGGGCCACGAAACCTTGTAAGTGTAGTGAATGCTGGTATGATTTGAAGAAATTTATAAATAAGCCTAAAGTAAAAACATAGTGCGAGATAACCTAGAGCCAAGTGCATAAATTTTATCATCCAATTTTAAATTTATATTGTTTCTGAATTAAGGTATTTATTTTTATATTACCAACATTTTTTTATAAAAAACAAACCTCTTTAATCAACAGAGACTGTAAATTAAGAAATCAACAAATATTTTTTCAATTATGTAGTTTATACATTTCATTTTATACTTTCAGTACACAGACTAACAATAATATCAGGATATACTTTTGTTGCTAAGCAACATGACATAAAAGATATTGTTGGAATGCATTGTTACCAAAATGCATTGGCTTTTCTATATATTAGAAGTCATTAATCTAACCAATATACTACAAGGTACACTATGGGGTGGTAGTACTTGCCTCATCATTTTTGATGGCTGTATGTCTATAATAAAAGAGCATATCTGTCTGTCTCTGATTTCTATTTGTAATATAAGGAACCACTTCTTTTCTCTGTGGTTTTTAGCTAGCTTGCCTCATTACTCATTAAAAAGATGCACATGTACGTGTTTGTCTGCAATTTCTATTTGTAATATAAGAAACCACTTTGTTTCTGTGTTTTTTTGCTAGCTTGCCTCATTACTCATTAAAAAGATGCGTGAACACATATGGATAAGATAAGTAATAATACCCAGATGCACACTCTCAGGATCCACTTAGTATGGGTGCAAAATTTCAGGTTCCTAGGTCATTTCCTCTTGGAGCTATGGCAGTCACATACACACACATACATGCCCTTTTGTTATTTAAAATGTTATTTATACAGTGCAAAAGATTTCATGTTAGTGTTAAAAAGTAGAAATCTACAATTTTTTTTACATAGTTCTTATTTGAAATTTAATTTTATTATATATATATATATATATATATATT